CTGGGGTAGGAAGAGCCACAGGAGGAGACTGGGTAGCTCAAGTAGCCTCCCAGGGAGCGGGAGGAGAAGTTTCCAGAGCAGCAGCTGTAGGACATGTTGACAGGAGATGTGAGTTCAGCTGAGTTACAGTGAGAAGATCCTGAGTTTCATCTCTACCTCCTGGATGTGGCATTTATATACTGCTAGAAACAGGTGTTGAAATCCACTGGGGCATCATTTCTTCATTTGCATAGTATTAACTTAATTATCTTTTTTGTAATTGCAACTGCATAGTTTCCTACATATTGTATTTATGGGTGCTATGTTTTTTGTTATAACACAAAGCCAATGAACTATCTTTATGTCAGAATTGCTATGACTGCTTTGCATTAATGAATGTTCCATCATCTCCTGGAATGCCTCTCTTTTTCTTCCTGGTATTCACTGCATATGTATCTGATTCTAGTTTTGCAGAGGTATGAGTTCCTTTTAAGGGTGGGGATTTAAATGTCATCACATTATTTTATTTAGTTAAAGGCATAGCTTTGGCTTTGCTAAAAAAAAAAAAAAACTTAAAATTTGAACCTACTTGTGATCAATAACTACATTCTCCAAAATTATTTTTCAAGTGTTAAATTTAATATTAATGGAAAGGTAAAAAGGTATGTCTAGAGGGAACCATGGATGAGCATTTAGAATCAAAATATGAAAGAGTGAATTCTGCCTGTTTTTTGATTGAGTAATTTAATTTTTTGTTGTTGCATTGTATGAATTCTTTATAGATGTTGGCTATCAAGTCCTTGTTAGATGTATGATGTACAGATATGTTCTTCTATTCAATAGGGTATCTTTTGATTTTAGTGTGTTTCTTTCACTGCACAGAAGCATTTTAATATGATGAAGTTTCATTTGTTTTTATTCTCTTGTTTTCTTGCCATTGATGGGTGACAAAGAATCAAGTATGTCCCTGAATCCAATGTTGTGGAGTGTTTCCTTTGTTCTCTTCTATGTTTTTATGTTTTCAGGTCTTACAGTCAATTATTTTACTTTATTTAGAGTCATTTTGGGGATGGTGTGGATATAGTTTCGCTTCTCTCTTCTGCTTGTGTTTGGCTAGCTTCTTAGCACCATTTGTTGAGAAGACTTCCCTTTACCCTGTGCCTACTCTTGCTCCTTTGCCATAGATTAAAGCTATCAATTCTATTCCATTGTTTTGTATTTGTCTATGTTCATTTAGCACCATACTGTTTTGATTATTATAGCTTTTAAAGTATAGTTCAAAATGTGTGATACAACTGTTAGGGGTGATTTTTTTTTTTTTATTCCATGTGAATATTGTGGTCCCATATACATTGCAGTAGTGTTTATTCTATTTATTGAAGAATGCCACTGAAACTTTGATGGAGATTGCATTCTACATTACTTTCGGTAGTATGTCCATTTTTTTTTTTTAAAGATTTTATTTATTTATTTGTACAGAACTGGGGTATAGGCCAGAGATGCGGAGGGTGAGAGGATTCACTAGAGACAGAGCCGGGAGCAGAACAGGCAGATCGACGAAATACACTGCTGAGGGGAGCAGCGGGCGGATCAGGAGAGGTCTGCCTCGCCATGTGGTCGCCTCCAGGGCAGGCTGGGATCGAACTCATGCGTAAGTGGCTTTAGTTTCTTAGTGCAGTGCTTTAACCCGTTGCACCACCAGGGAGGGCCCAGGATGTCCATTTTAGCAACATTAATTCTTCCAATCCATGAGCGTGGATTATCTGTCCATTATTTTGTATCTTCTTTTATTTCTTCAACAATGTCTTACTGCTTTCATTATATGTCTTTTATCTCTTTTTGTTAAGTTTAATCCTAGGTATTTAGTACCTTTTATGCAATTGTAAGTAAGATTATTTTCTTGATTTCTTTCTCTTCTGGGTTATTCTCATGTAGAAATACAGCAGATATTTGTGTGTGGTTTTATAACAACACTTTACTGTACTGTATTATTTGTATTATTATTGTTTTATTTCATTTCCAGCAGGGCTTTCTGTGTTTAATATCATGTCAGCCACAAATAGTGAGTTTTGTTTCTTCTTTTTCAATTTGGATTACTTGGATCTTTCTCTTGCCTAATTGCTTTACCTAGGACTTCCAGTATTATGTTCAATAGTAGTAGTGCAAGTGAACATCTTTGTGTTGTACATGATCTTAGAGGAAGAGCTTTTCAATTTTCATCATTGAGAATGATGTTAACTGTCAGTTAGTTACATATGGCCTTTTGTATGCTAAGTTACTTATCCTCTGTTCCTATTTTTGGGGTATTTTATCATAAATGGATGCTTAATCATGGCAAATGCTTTTTCTTATTCTATTATACAGTCATATGATTTTTATCTTTTGTTTTATTGATGTGAATTACATTGATACAAAAAATAAAATTTTAAGAATTTTTCTTCCTATCTCTCAGGCTATGTATTAGATGCAGCCAAGTAAAAACACTACTACATTGTTTTTTTTTTTTTTTTTGAAAGAATTATTTATCTACATTAAAAAATAATGGTAGATTTTATATAAAAATGTTGACTGAGCTGAGAAAGAAAAGGCTTGAAAACATTAATTTATGGATGACCTTTTGTGTTTTCCAATGTTTTTCAACTCAGTAGTATGTGGAACCAACGTATATTCATTGTATATTTTAGATCCTACTTTTGCTAGCTAGCTAATTATTTTATGAGTTGCTGTTCAACTTGTTACTAATCATGCACTGGAGTCAACTTTTATTAATCATCTTAATAAGGAACTAGATACTCAAAAGCTATAACTTGGAATAGTAAGATTGATGCATCAGAAAACATCTTGTCTATTTGCTGTCTAAAAATATTTTTATTATAGTTTTCTAATAGAGAATGAGACATATTTGTATCCCCCAAAATGGGGAATATGCCCATGGTGATGGTTTACTATGACTAAAAAAGAATAGCATTTTTAAGAATGGAATAAAAATATATAATGTCTTAATGTCAAACATTTCTTATGAGCAGGTAAATGTATTTTCCTTCTCACTAGCAGACAACTTTTAGTATGTATTTAGGGTCACACTAGATGAGAATTTCAATTATTTTGTTATCTGAAATTATCTTCAATTCTGAAGCACTTATTCACTTGCATAGTATTTTAGTATACCATCTATTTTCTTTCTGAATTTTGCATTTTTATTCAATTGCCTTAGTAAGGAATTTAAATTTCATTGTTTTTAAGATAATCATTTTCTTTTTTCAGGTTAACTGCAAATGTTTCTCTTTATCATTGGTGTTATTGCCTGTGTGTGTGTAGATGTGGTATTCTTTGTATTTATCCAAATTTTAGTTCATGGCACATATTGACTTTGTTTTGGAAAATTCTCAGCATTTATACCTTAATATATTTTATTTCTCATTCTCTGCTGTATCTGATTTTAGGAATCCCAAAAGTGTGTTAAACAAAAAGTATGTTCAATCCTTTTTTCTGTGGTCAGTATTCTTTCACACACTTTTAAAAGGTTTATTTTTATTTTTTCTTTTTCCACATTAGTTTAGATAAATTGTTCCCTACCAAGAATGATTGCCTTTATTCACTCAGGGAATATTTGACAATGACTAGAAAGGCATTTTTGGTTTTTCTGACTCAAATATGGGATAGAGACTAAGAATAATACAAAACATCTTACTTTTCAAAAGAAACAAAGAGATATCTCATTATCTTCCCTAAAATAGTGATGGTGATGCTGCTAAGAAACCCTACTTTAGAAGGTTCTCATGATACATCCCTTTCTATGGACCTATAATTGGTCTAGTATGTGATCTTCTGTTGATTTTATTTATTTATTACCAGCTTAATGCCTGCTAGCTTTTGACTGTGTAGCAACATAATATAAAATGTTTTTAGAGAAAATTTGAAATTTGACATAATCTTTCTTCATAAATGATTTACTTCTGGATTTATAGGGTATTAAAGGGCAAATTATCCCACAGAGTTCTAAAGTTGGTAATATTCTCATAAGATAAATATATGTATATATACTCATATAAACACATATATATATAGTTTTAAGATTTTCTCCACAACACAACTGCTGTGAATTATTTTTTCACCTTTTCTAGACATCATCATATTACATAAGTATGATGAAATTATTTTATAGAATATGTACAAGTAATTACAGTAGGAGAAAATATCATCTGAGGTTGTCCAAGTCACAGATTATTCCAACTTTTTCAGTACTTGAATGGGAGAAAATAAAATCAAGGTTTATTTTGTTTTAAACACAAGTGATGAGTGGTAGATGGATGGATAGATTGGTAACCTTCACATTTGTAGCCACAATTCTCATTGCAACATCATATAATCTGTTTAATTATTCACATAATATATATGTACATGTGCATATATATCATATAGATAAGTATATGCACATATATAAAATATTGACATTTCTCTCCATCCTTTCTCTGTGATCACAGCTCCATGCACATGATGTTTGGCACCAGGAGCCTGGCAGGTGCCGGCAGGTGACCATCACTGTAGAGATTTGCATTCAGTTAGCGAATGCTATGGACCAGGTTGCTGGGATAGGAAAAGCCACGGGAGGAGGCTGGGTATCCAGATTATTCACCTATTCAGCACTAGAAGATTCCAAAGCAGCAGTGTTAGAACATGATGGTAGGAAGCATGCATTCAGTTAAGTGACAATGAGAAGATTCTGAAGTTTAAGTTTATCATACAGACTGGGTGATTTTTTTTTTTTTAAAGATTTATTTATTTGTGCATACAGAACTGGGGTACAGGCCAGAGGCTCAGGGGCGGCGAGAGGCTTCACCAGAGACAGAGTGGGGAGCAGAACAGGCAGATCTACGAAGTACACTGCTGAGGGGAGCAGCGGGCGGGTCAGAAGAGGTCTGCCACGCCATGTGGTCACCTCCCGGGCAGGCGGGAATCGAACTCATGCGGAAGCGGCTTTAGATTCTCAGTGCTGTGCTTTAACCCGCTGCACCACCAGGGAGGGCCCTGGGTGATTTTTATCTGTCCATGAGGGTGGCAATACCAACTCATTCCTCTCACTTTTGCTTATCCTTTTCTACATGTTGTGATTCAC